CAAAGTGGGCAAGGGTCCTGAGACCCTGGTCACACTATGATAGTCCCCTACAATTTATTTAAAGATTCTTTAATTGTAAACATTGTATCTGGTGAAGCAGTGTTAGGGTTAGGTTTAGGACATGAGTCTTGAGTGAAAGTTAGAGTTAGGGTTAGATTTAATAGAGTCTATTACATTGACCGTAAGTTCAATTGTATTTAAAAAATATACAGTTGTATGTTAGTTAAAGGCAAGGTGACGTACAAAACATCCACAATGGATTATCAAAATAAAGTGTTACTACAAATCACTTTCAGGTTTTCTGGTATCCATTTATCAGGCAGAAGCCTTTGAAAACTCCACCCACACCACTACACTGATGAAGAACTATTCCTCTCTCTGAAAAACTAGTGTGAAAGAATGACTAGATTAACAATTTAATATACCATAGACTGAAGAATTCATGAAAGTGTCCTACAAAAATACAACAGCAGCTTCCCCTGGCTTCTATGTCAGTTTAGAGTCAGAGGGTTTTCTGTTCTTTTCTAAGTACAGGAAAACATGTCAAAATTGTCCATGGTAATCAATGGCAAAAAAAAAAAGGCGCAGCAGATAGGGTTTGGTTTGAAAAATGCTGAAGTGTTCCTTTAAGAGGTTAAAAGCCAGGCCTAAATCCAAAGCATGTGTCTTTCCCTCGACTTCACAGTTGAGCAGAATTTCCACAAAGCTGTTTTCTCTGAGCGCTTCACAGGAGAAGCAGAAGAGAGAAAATATCAGAGGGGGGCTGTGTTGATTTCTGGGTGGTAAAGAGAAGTTGCATGACGGACGGGCCATGTAATGCATCTGCCACAGTCCGCCTGCTCTCAGGGCCTGACGGTAATGGGTGTTGACGCCAGGCTGTTTAAAGGTCCCCAGATCCCCCCAAGAGAACCAGATGTGCCTTTACAGCCTCTACTCATAACCAGTCCTACAAATTACACCCATCAGGCCACACACAGCCCCAGGGCTCATATTAAATCAAGTAATATGACATTATAAAGCCTTCACAGATTTTTACAAGGGGGATGATATAATTTTGCTTATCATTTAGTAAAATAAAACTAGGTTGATATGGCTACAGATCTGGCACACTGATTTTAAGCGAGGGGAAAGAATCTCTTAAAAAAAGAGAACCATTCCATATAGAGTAATAATTTAATTACAAATATTCTGATAACTATTTATTAGGAAATTATTGACATATAAATAACATGACATATCAATTTTGACAAAAATTTGATTTTGATTATTTTGACAAGATTCAGAATTATTTTTAAAAATACACAAAATACACAAATGTGACTGGAGGAACTATTCACCCAGTAGTGGAATAAAAACAATATACCAATTAAAACAATATACAAAGCTTTTTTAGGGGGGGGGGTACATTTGCATGATGGTGCACTGATGCATTTTTAAACGCCTAATACTTAATCTAATCTTTACAAACACATGAAACTAACTAACCACTCCAATCCTTTCGGATTACTTTGGCAGTGTTTAAAAAAGTCATTATTGATTTCTAGAGAAAAGTGAAGATAGACGTTCTTATCCAGAAGGTATTCCTGCAGTGAGTGATAAAGGGCAATCACCTATTTCTGTCTTCAGAGGCTCTTTTGATTGGTCTCTGTGTGTAGCTCTTTGGACTGAGCCAATTAGAAGAGCTCAAGGATAGTGGCTGGAGGTCCTGGGGGCTATGTGGGCAGGTGGCAAGGCCACGTGTACTTTTGTATACCCACCACCTGAGACACTACACAGAAGAATTGTAGAAGAACCCGTTCCTCTGCCAGCCATTTCCATGACAATGAAAGAAAGGTCTAATCCTACACATGCATTTTTCTTCCAGACACATTCCAAGATACACACAAAATTTTATTCAGTTCATACTTCTTGAAATATAAGCAAAATCTGTGACAACAAGAAGATGAAGTTTCAAACATAGATTGTATGCATTTGGAATAATAATAAAATGCATGCAGAGTCAGAGAATGAAACATTTTTAGAACGCTTCTTCAGAAAGGGAGTGTAAATGTTCAGTATGTACTTCAGTCTAGGTCCATATTGTTTACTGAGACATCACAAAATGTGGCTACATATGAAAATACAGTAAAATAACAGCTGATGGTTTTGTTTTGCTTTTAAATATGCTTCATCCCTACCAATTTCTCACAGTCCTTGTCCTCAAGTTCCCCTGCACTGTACATTTTAACATTTTAACCAAAATTTGTCTCATCGCAGCAATTAACAAGCCCTTCTTGACCTTATGGTGTTTTAGAGCAAGGAAAATACTTCTCCAAACAATGAATATTTAATGACTGACTCAGTGCCAGTGGTAAGCATACAGTGAGGAGAAAAAAAAGTATTCAGACACTTTTGATTTTGTAACTTAATATATTTCAAGAGCATATGTCCACTTCAAATTCACACACATAATATCTTTTGACTGTACTCATGAATATAAACAAAAAAAGTATTCATAGGTGAACAAAGATTTGTTTAAATATGTTAAAAATGTTTACCAAATTAATATGGAAAAAACATTCAGACATATTAAGATGTATAAATATCTTAAAATATACAATGACTGACCATTTCAAAAAGTATAAGCTTTGCATTTACACTCACTGTCCATTTTTTAAACTCCATTTACCTTATAGGTGCAGAATGTAGTCCATCTGTTTCTCTGCATACTTTGTTAGCCCCTGTTACCCTTTTCGTCAATGGTCAGGACCTCACAGAACCACCAGAGAGAAGGTATTATTTGGGTGGTGGATCATTCTCAGCGCTGCAGTGACAGTGACGTGGTGGTGGCATGTTAAAGAGTATAACAATGGTATGAGTGGATCAGACACAGCAGTGCTGCTGGAGCTTTTAAATACCTCTGTGTTACTGCTGGACTGAGAATAGTCCACCAAACAAAAAGAAGAAAAGCATAAAAGGGGGCTAAAAACTATGCAGAGAAACAGATGGACTAAGTCTTTAATTGTAGAACTACAAAGTGCACCAATATGGCAAGTGGAACTGATAAAATATACAAAGAGTGTAGATACAAGGTAGGTGTACTTAACAAAGTGGCTGTATATGACATATGCTAAAAATAAAAATAAATCAAGTTCTTTAAATCAAGGGTCAGTGGGTCTAAAATTTGTATTACATACTTCTGTAACATCAGAATAGCTCAACCAGTCCCTGTAGTATTGAATAATAAGCCTTACGTAATAAGCCTGTGATTTTAAGGGGTTATTACTTATTGGAAAGTTCACAAAACCACAGCTTATCATCCCCAGAAAGTGTATATGATAAGAAATATAGCCAAAGACAACCTGAAAGCAACAAAAACAACAGCTGCACAGAGAACAATAAGCATGAACGGCACCACAATCATCCACATTCTTACAACCCTCTCCTCTGTGGGAAAAAAAAGCAGTGTAAAATATAAACACAACCTAGACAAATCAAAACTGATTTGGAACAATGCACTCACGCCAGACAAAACAAAAATATAACTCTTTGGCAATAATTTAGCTCGTCACGTTTGGAGCAAGACCACTCCACCCGTATTCAGGCCCGCACTGAAGAACTAATTAACGAGAGAATTCAACATCAGAGCGTGATTTTCTCAGCGCACATCAGCGCTGTAGCCTACTGTCTGCGTAATCTGCTCACTCTGTTCACTCTTTACAGACACTCCTGTTAATAACATCAGATGAGCAACAAAATAACAGTGATTATAGATATGCGTTTTGTTGTGGCTCATGGACGGCAGAGCATATTTCTAGCCAAGCATCAGCGACCTGACTGCTTACATATAAATCAACAAACCACTTATAAAGAATGAGATATCAAGTATGATGTATTACTATTGTTATGATTGTGATACACTCTTTTCTATTTTTTCTATTTTCATGGTGGCAAATCTGAGAATAACAGAGTGACTGCTTCCCTGCTAAACTGTTGCAGGCTTTAGACAATGAACTGCGTACAAAAACAGCCTGATCTTCTTCAGATATGTTAGCTAGTAGAGTTTGGTATCTGAGGCTGAACACAGTAAAGCGCAGAGTCAAAACAAACACTGTCACTATTCATGAATAGATTTATGGAGACATGCTATTAGCATGACATGAAAGATAGTTTTAGTCAGGGGCCTAATTGGATTTCATCACTCAGCTAGCCAGGTTTTTTTTAGATATATCATCAGAAGGTATACTAGTCTTTAACCTGAAAAATCTCACTCTATAGACTATTGCGGCACCACTGTAGAGGCAGGTAAACATATCTGCAACAAATGTAGTAGTGGTTAAACTTTAATTGTAGCTGGAGTGTCCCATTAACTAAAAGGGATCATTTGTTGTTGCTGAATTATTACTCTGACAATAAAAGTTATAAATTTGATTAATAACAGAGTAGGCATTTAATTACCACCTCAACTGGCTAAGGCTTTAATCATCACATCCAAATCATCTAGGTCTCAAACCACAACAAGCAGCTAAGTAATCCCAAATAGACTTGGTTATGTGGTTTCTAACATGGCTCAACGTACTGATATCAAGACAGCTGCTTCTACTGTTTTTAGCTATGAGAGCAAAGTGTTCTGTTTTAAGATTTTTATAGATAAAGGTAGACTGTATACAGTGTCCAAAAAAAGATGTTGTTTGAAGCAAGTTTGTGATTATTTAGGCCTGCAGTTTGTACAAGGCTAACTGGTGGTTATATCCAAGACCAAGTGCAAAAAAATAAGCAAACTTTGGACACCAACCATGTCTCGGATGATCGACTACATTTGAGGTAAGGGAAAACTGTAAACTAGATTTTTTTGCTAAGCCAACATTTTAAGGATTACTGAATGAAACAGCACAAAGAAAAACGACGCTCTATAAAACTGGGTTATAGAGTAGTTTATCCCCACTCAACCTAATCCCAAGTTCTGAAGTCATGATTAAAAGTCAGCCAGTTTCGACTGATTTACTGAACCCTGAACTTACCTGGCATTGCATGGACCAAATCCCCACACAAAGCAATGAAGCGGGGCCGTGGCTGCAGTTTATTGATGGCCTGGACAGCCTGCTTGGTGAGCCGGACCTCCTCAGACCATTCATCTCCTCCTCCATCACAGTCCCCCACACTCCAGGCCTTCATGAGGCCCAGCTGAGGGTCCGCTGCCTGGATGAAGTAGAATGGCCCCTTCCATTCTTTCTCTTTATCTGTAAAGTACAGGAGAAGACCATTTCTGTTAGTAGAGTGGTTACAATACCAGAATTTTGACTTTGATACTGATACCAAAGATCACAATGTGTGTGTGTGTGTGTGTGTGTGTGTGTATAAACAGAACTGGTTGTGAAGCAGTCAACTCTACAGACTTAATTCAACACTAAATGACCACAATTCATCCGAAAACCCCCAAGAAACACACCTGGAAGGTGAGGATTCCTGGAGCACACAAAACTGTGAATTGTTATAAGGCTTATTATTAATATATTAATCACAATAACGATTAACAAACAATATATTGTGCAGATGTATTATCTGCTGCAACACTGAACCGCTAGTCAACAAAGGACCTCAATAATTAATACTGCATTTATGGAAGTTGATGCTAGCAGGACAAATTGTTTTACATAATCTAACATTACATAAGACATTTGCAATCAAATCGCTCTGAAATATTCATAAAAAGCTTTATCTTTACTGGGGCTCATTCGCTCTGTGACCTGTCAGAAGTGTGATGGGAAAACCTGTGAAGGATGCAGCTGCCCTGTCAAGGAAAAGCATTGCCCTGGTTGGAAAATGCAAATGAAAGATGCATCATCTCTTGTGTTAAAGGCAACACAAACACGAGCAGAACTGTGGCTTCCGCCTCACGGGGCTTGTGGCACACACCCTCATCCTCGACCTTACAACTCAAGCACCGTGTTTCTACACACACTCTCTATGTATCCTTATCTTCCTCCCAAAAGAATTTTTGGTAATAGCCCATTCTAACTTAGGCAAAGAAGAAAAGAAGAGAACCTTCCTACCGGGAATGCAATAAGAAGTTTCTGACTCTGCTTTTTCCTACCATCATTTAGTAAGAAGAGATTCTTTGAAGGACACGCAGCCAGATAAAAGGACATGAATAATGCTCCACATCAGAGTGAGCTATTAAGAGCATCACAATTCTCTTCCTAACAGCACAGACTATTTGAAATAATGCCATTAAAATAATGTTTGTACAAAATCTGCAAAAAAAAATCTGTTTGCATTTTAACAAGGCAACAACCTATGGGTAATAACTGCACAGCATCACACCTAAATTAGCTTAAATTAAAATAATAACCTCAGTGCTCATGTATTTTGCAACACACACCAGTAAATCTTAGGCTTAAGTTTGATGAGTTTGATGTACTATGCACGGTTGGGATAGCTACTGAAAAATTAGTAGTTAGCTACTTTGTAGCTACTTTCCCAAAATGTGTAGCTAGCTACAATTTAGCTACTTTTCCAGAAAGTGGCAGTAGTGGCTGCTTTTTAGCTACTTTTTGAAAAGTAGTGCACTACTTTTAGCTACTCTCAAAGCACGATTGTCAGAATGTTTGTGAATCTCCACCTGACACACCAAACAAGCCCAACTGATAGTGTGAACAAGACACTGCATTTAATCATGTGCCAGAAAGAAGCATACGATTACAAAGCTGCAAATATACAAAAAAATCACCAAAAAGTAAGTTTAGGTGTAACCAACTATCAAACATACCAACCAAAGGCATGATATCCAACAAAAATTCAGACTAAAGGCAAAGTCAATCATTCCAGGTTTTTCCTAACAAAAGTCAAAAAAAGTAACTGAACACAAACCAAACAATTTCGTGCAAACCGTTGTCAACTGTTGAAATGAAACTGCTCCAATTTAAACATTTCAGGAAGATGTACAGACATGACTTTCAGAGTCCTTTGTTAAACTTCAGCAACACTTTAGCCTCAAGTTCTCATCAGTGAACCTGGATCTGTTTGGGGTGAGAATCAGGCCTGCGCATTTGAGTTATCTATCCACTGCTGCAGAGCTGTTGCGGCTCCACAGCAGAACTAGATTTTTAGGTAAAATAACATAATCCACCTTTGCTGTAAAATCGTTAGAACACACAGTTCTAACAGTTTCCACAAAAAATGGTCTTAAACGCTGGAGTTAACGCATAACTACTAATTCACCAACTTTTAATCCTGAACACTGATGGACAGACTGCTGGTCACGCGGCACTGCAGATAACGAAAAGGCAAAGAGAGAGATTTAAGACGAACATCAATAATTTGGAGATGAATGGACTTATTTGCATTTATAATCACTCAGCTGGTTTCCTCATACATTTAATCTGCAACAAGTCACGAAGCTGAAGTTGCTTCTTTTTCTCCAGCTTCTCGAATTTTTCCCGTTCCACCTTAAATGGCGCAGCAGTACAATCTGGCGCCTCAGGAACCATTTAAGGTGGATCGAGACAATTCGAACGAGAAGCTGGTGAAAGAGAAGCGACTTCAGCCTTGTAAAATGTCGAACATTGAGAGACATTTTACAAGAAACTCGCGGAAGTTTCCTGAGATGCCAGAAAAGTGGCTACAGCTGAGCTAAATCTTAAAGCACAGCAAAGAAAGTTTGCGTTTTCATTTATTTAATTTTTAGCCTGAACTAGTACATCAGCACATACTGAGACATGTTTACAGCCATGATGGTAAAACGGACATAAAATGTTGTGGCTCCCAAGGTGGTTTCATTTTTGTTGAAAGGACAAAGTGGCTCTTCTTAACATTTCGGTTGCGACCCCTGAGCTAAGTCTACTAGTAAGGGGTGATCAGCGTGTAACCGTTTGCTCAAACTGTCCGTGGCTCAGTCAGGACTGCACAGTCGCCACCAGCCCAGTGAACGTCCACACAAAACGTACCATTCACTCCTCAGTCCAATACAAATGTAACAGCTAAACCAGCTGATGTTCAGACTGAAGGTTTTTCTATAATAGAATGCCTCATTGAAGCCGCATCGAACCTGACGCTGCTGTGAACGGTGATTAGAACAGCATTACTAGTAATTTCTGTCTCCAGTCCACGGTTGCAATAAATAAGGCACGATTTTCCCTTAACTGGCTCAAAGACCACAGCAAGTTTAACTTTTTTGTCGCCCTAGGGTAATACCCACATTTAGGCACTTTCCCTTTTCCAAAAGGATGAGGTGGAAAGGAATGTTAGTAAAGTACTTGTCATTTTTTAATTATTAAATATCGTATCAAACAAAAAAAGAGAGCATGCCAATGAGAAAAAGAAAAAAAGAATATATTTTCCATTGCAACAATTACTACAGTTGTCAAGGTAATAAAGTAAATTCACTACAATACCCATGGTGCAATGCCCTCAAAACTGTGCATGTCAATTGTAACACTGAATGTCAAAATCACAAATGTAAGTTTGGAAACAAAAGGCTGTCTGAGATTTCATGAGTCATAAGTTTCAAATCCAAGTTGAGTCACAAGTGAGATAAGCGTTTGTCCCAGTCAAGTCGCAAGTCAGGTCAACACATAACTTAGGTCCCCATCTCTAATTCTTAGATTTTCATAGATTCATAGACTTAATGTGGCACTGCTGTTTTGATGGTGAATTTTGGCCTGTCAAATGTCTTTTCAAACCTCAGAAAAAGTAAATGTCGGGATGCGTATTGTGCGTCGGCTTCAAGTATTGTGATATCATATTTTTGCCGTATTGTCCACCCTTAATCCAACCATTGGCTTAAACATTTCAAACGTACAATCTAAAGAAGCTCAAAGCACTGCTGAACCCATATGTACAGTCCAAGAAGGCTGTAGGAAATATCGCGGTTCAATATTAAACAAATGAATTGAGTAGAGCTGGCAGATCTTCTGTGACAGCAGTTAAGCACAAGTCTCTTTCAGCAAACACACAGAGCTTTCCTCTAACATAAATCAGTGGGATATCTGAGGTGGCACACAGAGCAGTCAAACACAACCTAATCATAATTCAAGATGAAAGCATTTCAATACCTGCAATAAAAGACAAAAAGAAGAGAAGAGCAAACCTAACTAAGACACCTTCACCATAAGTCAGTGACTATGGTGCACAAACACTATGTATTATTACAATGAATACAAATAAGCATAAATACAACAAAAAGTAATGAGTGCTTTGGTTTTAAAAGGTTATTATTGAAATCTTGATTAGAAAAATGCAGTAGACGAACATAAGCTTGGCCCCTGACATCTCAGTGCACTTCAGTTATTGCAAGGATTTGTTGAATTCCATCAGCAGCACACTGGATTTGATTTATTGAAGGATTGATTAGCTGAATTAGGTATCTAAGTAACTGTAAATATCGTCTTCCTCGGGGAGAAGTTTGGACATTATTAAGCTAACACACAAACATAAAAATCACAACATTTTTTTTTAATTTATATTAGTGCTTTTTAAAAAAATAAACAAGACATACAAATTTTTCTCAGATGGCTTAACACTGTTGCACAGTAGTGTAATTCCAGTGAATATAATGGCATCTGCACAAAGTCAACATTGCTCAGATTTGTACTTTGTCCTGAATGAAATACTTCTGATTTTAAATGGCTGGACCTTATTGGGGACAGACAGGCAGGCTGCTGCCATGTCTGATAACAAACTCAAAAGACTGGATAAGTCCAAAGTCAAGCCTGTCTAACAAGAATTCAGCTGAGGGACATTCTTATTGTAAAGGTTCTGAAATTTACCCTTGAGGCTACCACCCCAGTGACAAGAGAGGTACTGCCCCAGTGACAGTTTACAACCTTTTTTTCTGAGAGTGTATGTCAAATCTGTCACATCTCACATGCAGAAAACTCAAGGGTATGACTAGCACTGTAGCAGTTCAAATGACACATTTTAATATACTTGCAATACATATTGTGAACTACGGACATTAACACTACTGCAAATGTCGATTCACTTGTATTAAAAGATTGTTTACAGCACGTAAAACAGAAACCGGCGTAAATCAATACACTTCTGTCTAATGCATGTCAACAATGCATTATTCATAAAGCACAAACAAGATTAGGACAGGAATGCAAGACAGTATTTCTGCTGCAAAAGAAATCATGCTCACAGTCCCTGAATTTAATTGAACTTCTGTAAACAATCTACTCTTCCATTTCCCTTCGCCATTTCACTACATTTAACGTTACACCCGTTTACATCGACTGATCTCAAGGTTTGGTTAACATTTGATTGACAAAAAAAAGAGGAACAGAGCAGGACAAGGCAACAGAAAGGTAGAAACTACTAACAGGTTTAAGCTTGCTAGCTAGCTAGCTAGCTAACAACAGCCAGTTTCTTTTCATGTCGAACACGTAACCTAGCTATCTATCGGCAGACTTTGCTAGTTGCTGTACCTTCCGTTAAATCCTTATAACTCCGTTGATGTGCTCTTAGGAAGATGTCTTCGTCTTCTGCCATTGCCAACTAACGATACAACTGATACAACTGTACACTCCGAATCATAAAATCGGCAATAAAGTTATCTCGCTAAGCGCGCTGCTGTTTCTGCCTGACTGACTGTAATTTCCACGATCGATGCATTCGGTAATCTATTAACTGAGCCTGCCAGGAGCGAGTCTCGAAGTTAAGACTGCATGGATGTTAACACATTTATTACTGTAGCAGAAAGAGGAACCCAAAAGCACGCTGAAGTAAAAGCAGAGCTGTAGAGCTGTATTTAAACTGTAGTCCTTAACATTTTAGTACAACTTCCTTTTGTGTGTTTAATTTTATTATGTTGTTCATGAATTCCATTTCTGGACACAAAAAGAAATACAAGCATATTCATATGTTTGTATTTCTTATTCAGTTTAAACTGCTTCTTTTTATCCAGTCAAACCATTTATTTACAAAAAAAGGTGTTTGATTCACATTACCCCTTAACATAGAGACAATTGTTTGGGAAAGATGCATTGTTGCCGCTGACATCTTCAGGCACTCGGCAGCAATGCGAGACTAGATTCTATAGCTTAACTGATATCTGTCTGTCTTAGACTCTGTCATGAGCGTAGCTACCCGTCCGCTGAATTAAGTTAAAAAAAAAAATCAAGCCACTGATCAAGTGTCCAGAATTTTTTTACAGGGCTGAGGGAGCAACCCAACTTTTACATGAGTCACGATAAACATCAAGAAGAACTTGGCTGCCATCTCAACCATATACAAGTTTACAGTGGAATGAACTTAGACATCTGGTTAAATGTTCATGTACTTTTGCCTTTGTACCTGGGTAAGGCAGTTAGCATGGGCCGCTTTTGCATGCACTCAGTTCAGTATTAATGAGAGCCAATTTTAACAATTTGCATCATCACTCCAAAGATGACATTTATGCTTGAATATGATTGTAATTTTAGATTGTTGAAAAAAAAGAGCTTGCTTTTGTCAGATCAGGTGTAGCAACAGAAAAAGGCCTGCTTATAAGACACAACTTTATGGCAAAAGATCATGTGAAATTGAAGTTGGCACTCCTTCCTCTTTGTCAGGGTTGCAGTGCTGAGGCAGGGGGTTGAGGGGAAACAGGTTCAGTGTTGCAGAACTACTGGAACAGTTTGCGCTAAGATCCAATGAATAGATTTTTTTTTCATCAGAGAAAGTAACATGAATCCAAAACTCAGTAGTACTACAGCAGGTCAGCGTTCTTGGTGTCCACTGTGGTCCGACCTCAATCTTGGTGTGAAGACTTAACCCACTGAGCCACTTGCTGCCCAATGAGGTGGTAAACTGGCTAGAGCTATTTCAAATAAGCTGAACTACATACTGCCACAACTAAAATTTGAACTTTTTATTTTTCTTTGTGTGAGATCTTTTTAAATTTTCCACTTTTTTCCACTTATAGACATTTTTCTTACCCCGAAGCCCACTTATAATGTCATAATTAATTTTTGCAAGAGCATCTTCCAACCTCTTTTTATCTCTTAAAATTAAACAGACCGCATTTGTTACTTTGCCTATGTAAACGCCCCTTAGTGGGTTTGCATATTTGAGACACATCAACTGCGTTGCGTGTAATCACGCAGATAATACAGCCATGCAGTCTCTACAAACACTAGCAGTAGCAGTAACAGTAATACTCAGTGTGGCACCGTCAAAGGACGCTACCTTTCCAACAAGTCAAATTGGAGCAGCCGCGAACTGGTGGACTACACAACATCACGGAATGGGACCGCCAAGCGCTGATGCATGTAATGCGTAAGTATCTTTTCTCAGCTGCAGCTCTCCTTACTTACTCCCAAACTATCACTGGGGGCTATAGCACAGCAGTCACAATACAAACCTTTACGTTTACGATGTGCAGTGCTGTAGTGTAAAACACACAGCCATTAGACACTGGATATATATTATATATTTGGTGAATGGAGGAACAGTAAGAATGACATTGTACAGTGTAACTGCCTGTTTCTGCTGTGCATATGACAATAAAACTCTTGAACTTAAACTGGAGCAGGGGCAAAGATAAATCATGCTTCATCATCTGTTTTTCTAATCACCTCACTAGTCAGAGAAAAGAAAGCATCTTCCGCAAGTTTCTTGTGCAGTGTTGGACTATTGGATCAGTTTTATGTGATGATCAGTAAACAGTTTGGGTTATTTTCGTCTGTTTTTACAGAACTACCACTATGTTCCAGTGTTCAGTTGAGGCCTCAAACATATTGTAGCGACCAGCTACTGGCTGTGGACGCGCGGGAGGCGTGGCCATGCAGAGCGGCGTCGCGCGGGGCCTCAGGGGAGCGCAGCGTTGCGGTAAAAGAGACAGTTCAGAGTTCATAGCTGTGGGTCTGTGAGTGTATTTAGCGTCCACTTGTTGCTTGTGCCATTCTGTGTCGGGCTATGGGGGGCAGTTGGTGTGGTCGTTGTAGTCACCATGTACGGACATTGTATGTTGAGAGGTGACCTGCCCCCCCAAAGCCCAGTGTGTATCATACATTCGATTAAAGGTGTAAATGTGATGGAGATCAGTATGATGAGGTTTGTACCCGTGTAAGACAATATTCGAACAGGCACAAGGTGTGCTCATTGTGCAGTGTTAGGAGAAACTAAACATCTCTATGCAGTCTTGTTACACACAGAGCACAGCGGTGTGTCACTTTAGACCCAATATGCAAATGATAAATGGAACGTACTGTGACTGAAACAGTTGCACGTTGTGTCAAATCGTTGTTCTGTTTCTCAAAGCAGTGGCACAAAAACTTGGAACAATTTGGGGTGCTTGGTTTGTTTACAATTTTTTAATATATGGTGTGGTCACAAGAATTAAGTTCATTTCCATTCAATATACATGCAAGATTCAAGTCTAACTTTTTTCCGTTTAAATGTAAAGAAATAAAGTAAACATGACAAACGTAAAGAATGTTTTCTCTTTCTGAAAAATAAGACTGTACACACAAAAATAAATGTTCATAATTTTTAATCAAATCATAATAGAATATGTCCTCTTCAACAAATGTGGTGTCGATTGAAAGTTTGGAATCCATCAGAATTTTTTAATGCTTCGTTAGGCTACAGTGAGAAATAATTAGTATCAAATTACAGCATGGTTTTATCCTAAATTACCATGCAATAACTGAGACGTCTAACAATGAAGTGTTTGATGGATATGTCTTTACACATTTGGTTAATAGATCGTCACAGACTTTAATATTGGGTGTACATAGAATAAAATCTAGCAGTTGGAGGACATGGTATGGTTACAAACTTTAATGGGAAATTCCACCAATTTTTCAAAATTCAAATGTTGTAATGTAACATACAACACAAATACAGATTTATTATTCACTCTCCACAACAACTTATACTTATTTTCTGAATTATAATATGTAAAGTTGACAATGGTAAAATAGTGATAAATCCCAAAATGATGTTTTCTTTTGGCACTATTTTGCCTCACAATCCTCTAAAGGTACCTCTTCACCATGAAAAAATGTTTTAGACCAAATCCTTATTTCAAGACTAATGTAAAACAATGTCTCAGGCATCAGGAAACATATTTGAAACAATTTGATTTTATAATTTTCTGCTTCAAGAGGATTTTAGTGCTTCGAACATCTGGTTCCCGCTATTGCTGATGTAGAATGGCATTGAATTATGCAGGAATGTTGAAACAATCTGTACAATATCCTTTTAGGTAATTGATGGGCATGGTATAGTAATAAACTGTAGGTTTATTATTGTACATTGATACAAAAGTATTGGCAATGCATTTGAATGACTTGACGTATATGTTATCACTAACTAAGTAAGTACACTTTGGTGTAGATAGCATAGTCACAAATATTAGTATTTGGTTTACAGGGTTTGGACACAAATGTTAAGTATATGGTGTACGTGATAAGCAGAGGTGTGTAGTACCTAGTTCAGATCTACCAAGTAAAAAGAAAGCAGGTAAAGGAATCTACATTTTGCTCATTATAGCCATTCATAGTTACTTACCTATTCCTTTTTTGTATTTTGTTGGTGACTGTACTGTACTGCTTTGTGATTGGTCACATCTCTGACTTTGGAGCTTTGGCATTTTATTTTAGACCAAAAGAATCAGAAAAAGAGAAGAACAGAGCCAAACAATATTAACTTACTGATAGATGATGGATTTACTTAGAAGTTCCACTGCAGTTCTATATGTGACTCTGTTTTTACCTGATACGTTGGACACTCTACTCAATCTGTTTTTGTGAGTACTTTTAATTTCACTCAAGTTATTATTTGACCCAAGCATCAATACATTTACTTGAGTATGGATTAAAGCTACTGATCATATGACCAAAACGCACGTACCTGGTATGCTTGTAAACTTTACGCAGTGAAGCTCTCAGCACGCGCGCAATGTTGTCTAATCCCTCCCTCTCCTCCTCCTCCTCCTTTCTTTGTGCACGCGCTCCTCCGTCTCTCTCCTCTTCACTCAGTGTGTTGCGTATTGCGCGCAAGGCTGCGGCTTACACTTTGCGCTTCTGCTCGGAGACAGCAACCCCCTGCACGAGAGCTGCAAAATGAGGAGCGTTAACGCACGGCCGTATGTTTCCACTTGGATTTACGTCTTCTGACGGCTGCTAGCATCAACTCATCAGCTCAATCTCTCTCTCTCTTTCTCTCTCTCTCTCTCTCTCTCTCTCTCTCTCTCTCTCTCTCTCTCTTTTCCAGCTCGCTTTCTCCACACAGAAAAGTCATCAGTCAGGAAGGCAGCAGCAGGATGAAACGGACAGCTTTGCTTTTAGAGTATTTGTTGGTGAAAGTAATGGTGCTGGTGTGTCGCGCGGACGGCGAGCCCGAGCAGCAGCTGGACGGTTTCATCATGCTCGCGGGCTCTAACGGCTCGAGGGAGGAGGACGGAGCCGTGTCCGAAGCCCCACACTCTCCGGACGAGTGCAGGGGCTACTACGACGTGATGGGCCAGTGGGACCCTCCGTTCATCTGCCAGACCGGCAGCTACCTGTACTGCTGCGGCACCTGTGGCTTCCGCTTCTGCTGCGCGTTCAAAGACTCGCGCCTGGACCAGAGCACGTGCAAGAACTACGACACACCCGTGTGGCTCAAGGGTCAAACCCCGTACAAAAAGAAGGACCCCAGGCACGATCCGACCAAGGATAAGACCAACATGATCGTCTACGTCATTTGCGGAGTGGTGGCTATCATGGCCCTGGTGGGGATTTTTACCAAACTTGGACTAGAAAAGGCGCAGCGGCCACACAGGGAGAACATGACACGGTACGTTGGGCAAGTTGGAATTTTTCTTTAGATGAAAGAAAAACGAAACTTCTGAGCTGTTTTGTTACGTCTTTGTGTGGAAACTAATTGAAACTGATCGTTAAAGCAGTACGCTAGCATTTTTTGTACTTTGTACTTGCACTTAATATTAGCCGATGAGCAGGTACTGAAGCCTAGAAAAGAGCGATAGAAACCAGTAGGCAGGAAGCATTGTTATGAGTGCGCTTTGAGTCAGTAGTTTTTTCTTTCTTTGCTAAGCAGAAGGAAATTTTTGTCTCTTGTAATCGACAGGACAATACAGATGCAGCAGACAAATGTAAACCTGAAAAAACACTGGATTATGCTTTCATGGCAACCGTGTGAAAATAGGCCAGCCCACTTGAAGTGGACAATCTAAAAAAAGCATTACAGTGTACACGCTGCCTTTGAACAAATGGGCGTTTTACAGACTGCATCCCATGTGCATTTAGAATTTTAGCACGCGTTATGTTTGCTGGCTTGTATACCTATAAATAGAAGTATTGAGCCAAACTGCTGGGTAGGAAGAGAGCTAGTGGATATTTTCATAGGCCTATACATAAACCCTGTATTTCTTCGAGACAAGGCCGTTCACAGCAGTTCAGTGCCAGTCTCACGACTTCTAAAGCTCTTTCTAATTGTCACCATGTGCCTTGAATTTGTTTCCCAGCAAGACAATCTCTTTCCTGCTCAGAAAAACCGAACACGGGGGACTGTGTCGAAATTCAAAATCCCTCAGCAAACAGTGTGACAGTGCGCGCGCGTTTGCATTTTGCCCACCGCGTGCTTCTTCTTTACGCACTGCCTGCTGAGTCTCGCGCTCCGTTCAAAGGCGCTGCTGTGATAAGAACAGCACAACCCACACAGCATAATCCACCTGCGTTGAATGAACACCTACAGTGGTCGTTTAAGGGCAGCTGGACACAAATGAACACGGTGAGAGTGAACTGAATGCCGGGTTTTTGCTGTGCCACCACGAGCCAGTGGACCAAATGCAAATCAACGTTTACCGCTTTTCTTCACTTTAGCACCATGGAAAGCGCACTGGTGCTCTACTGCTTACATGTTCTGGTACAGTCCTAAAAATAAAGGTGCCACAAGGGTTCTTTTGTGCAATCAACCACTTTTGGTTCTATAAAGAACCCTTCAGTGGATGTTTTTTAAAGGAATTCGTTTTTAACTAAATGCCTATGTGGGACTTTCCATTGGCTTCTATTGTAAATGTATGTATGTGCATGTGTTGAAATGTGTGGTAATCCATCACATGCTACAGATGTAACAGATTAAGGTTAGATTGAAAAGTACTGAGGTATTCCTTTAAAAACATTTGAAAAACATTTTGTTGTTGGTGTTTTTTTTCTATGGCATCACTCCAAATAAACTTTTATTTACCAAACAGGAGCACAGCTGTGATCTTATGGGCCCCAGTGCAGAAATCACATTGAATGAATTAAAACAAATAACACTGTATTTTGCCCATCTATTTGCTATTGCTATTATTCAACCAAGCTGGCGCAGGCTAATGGTTAAACTGTATTAAGTTATGATAGCTAGCCATGAGTACTATAGGTTTAAAGTTGTTTAAGTGGCAATATAGCGGGTCCATTAATGATGTTGGGTGGTCTGGTTGCCACAATCCCAGTGCAATAACACTTCCTACACCACCAGGAGTTACACCACTGTGACCAACTCTGCTCCTGGACATCCACTGTTCTGCAGAATTCAGCTCTGTTCATAACCCACCACTGGCCACACCTGATCTAAATAATGACTTCAGAAGTCCTTAGTTATCTGCATGAAGCGTATTCAGTTTTGGTTGGAGGTAAAAACCCAGCAATCATAAAGGTTAGAGGCCATCTTAACAAATAAAATTGAATCTTAACAAATAAATCTGCTGTCCATGTGGGACAGTGTATATGAGTAAACAATAGTAATTTAAGCATATTGCCACTATCACCAAAACTATACTAGAGAAGCATTTATAACTTTTAATTAATTAGTAATTTTAGACTATTGGTCCAATCCTCATGAAATGTCCATATAATGTAAATACAGGTGGGATAAACAGCATAAAAAAGATGAAAAAATGGTACAAGGTCTTGATATGACAGGAACAATATGTAAGTTTTATGAAGTAATTTTGTATGTTTCACTAGTAAAATATTTGCTCCCCCAACAGAGCTGTAGCAAGTGTGATGCAAGGCGCCTGTCAGGTTGAACATGAAGAAGCCATCGGCATGCACGCGCAGCACTATGACAACATGCAACATGCCAGGACCCCTAACATACGTAAGTTACTCCAGAATTGCTTTTGTTTTGTCTTTTGTTTTTAGCAGCTGTTGGCACATGAGCCAACAATCCAATGCTATGCATCAAGTGCTGAGTGTGTTAAAATATTTGAGCCTAGTAGAATTTAGATGGATGGCTAAGTGGATAAAATGCAAAATACAGCAAAGCATTCCTCATCTATGACTCATATAGGTGTCATATAGCAATATTGATTTTCAGTTTTAACAGTATTAACAAAAAAATAAAACTGGAATAGATGCCAGTCCATGGGTGCTTCAGATTGTTTTGCAGGATCAGTTCAAAATATTGTAAAACCAAAGGGGAGCCCTGAGGCATAATGCTTTCTGGGAACTAAAAAATAAGTGTTGGTAATTTTTTTTATTTTTTTCATTTCATTTTTATTCAGTATTCAGCATTTAACCTCTGCATGTATTACAGTACTAGTCTCGTTTCATTGTTAAATATAAACAGAAGGGTTAAATTCTTGAACCACTGAGGAAACAAACAGACCAATCAGAATTTGTTTTCTCCATAGTATTTGGCTGGATATAGCTAAACGAGCTCTTCTACTGGTTACGACTTTAAGAGCTGAAAAGAATTCTTACTGTGTTAGGTTAACTTTCTACGTAATTGCGAAGTGATAGTGGAATCAACCAATCATGTTTTAATTTTCAATGGGTGGGACCAATTTGTGAGAAAAAACATCACTCTAAGCCTTCTGGAAGTCCTAGATACATCACTTACTGAATACGAATGGCAGCCTAATCAATAGGTTGGTCGAAATGGAAAATAGCAGTGATATGTCTATACCAGGGCTCTCACTGTGAAGCTAACATGAGGTACACTATATGGTAAAAGGTAAAATATATCTGTCACAAGCTTCAAGTAAAACCTGAAATGTCTTTTAGAAGGTTAAAATGTCTGTGTTTAATCTAGAACTGCTCTTTTCAAGTTTTCCATCCCAACTTAAACGGTGCTGCAGTCAAATTCTGGTGCCAGTGAATTTACTGCTCCACTTTAAGCACTTAAACGTGCCAGAGTATCAGTACTGCAGCATTTAACATGGAATGGGAAACTCAAAAAAGAATTTTGCATGTGTTACAGCAGTTCATACGAATTGCTGTTAGCTTAGCACTAATAAAGGAGTAGAGTCTTATCAGGACACTAGCAGTTAGTTTGTTAGTTAGTATTATGGTTGGAATATGATGGTTCATGGTACAAATTGAAGGCCTAGCTGTAATAGTCACAGTTAACTACTAACAAAACCTAAATAAATAGCAAGTTTTCTTGTGGCATTTAGAAATGTAGAAAATTTAGGACAGCGTTTAGAAATCACGTTCTTAAAGGAGAAGAGTAGATTAAAGGCAGAAATAGCTGGGTTTTTTGTGTAGCTATGAGTGAGTATTTACAGCACTGCATAAGGCTGTGTAATTTCAAGAAAAGCAGCACAAAGCAGTCCAGTTAAAACAAGCTTTGTAAGGTTGTGAGAAATTCTACTGGCACATAGAACTCATATTTTGGAAGCATGGAATCATTCTTTCTTTTTTTTTATACATACTTAAATATCAGCTGAAACCATAATATTGTATTATCATGATATTGCATTTATCAATATCATGGCTCATATTTTTCAAACAGAAATGAATTGAATCTGAGCTCTGTGTAAAGTTAGGAGGCATCAAGAAAAATTAATCAGATGGAGAGATTTGAACAGAGAAGAATAAATGGTCTCACAAGCACCCATTCAGCCTTCCACCCAATGGCTGCTGGGATAGACTCCAGCCCCACTTTGTGACCCAGAAGGATAAGTGGCTTAGAAAATATGTGTGTGAGTCAATTTAGTTTCAAGCGACTGAAGTATTTTTAGAGCAACTAAAGTTGTATGAAAATTTTACCTTGTAAAGCTGTTCATCATCATCATCATCATCATCATCGTTAACCGCTTAGTCCAGATAGGGTCGCGGTAGCAGTTGGGAGAGCAGAGAATCCCAGGTGACCCTGTCCCCCGCAACTTCCTCCAGCTCATTCCCGAGGACCCCAAGCCGCTCCCAGGCCAACTTGGAGATATAATCCCTCCAGCGGGTCCTAGGACGACCCCGGGGTCTTATTCCGGTAGGCCGTGCCTGGTACACCCCCACCGGGAGGCGTCCCGGGGGCATCCGGATCAGATGCCCGAACCACCTCAGCTGGCTCCTCTCAATGCGGAGGAGTAGCGGCTCTACTCTGAGCTCCTCCCGGATGGCCGAGCTCCTCACCCTATCAAATAGAGTGTAGCCCGCCACCCTGCGAAGAAAGCTCATTTCTGCCGCTTGTATTCGCGATCTCATTCTTTCGGTCATTACCCACAGCTCATGACCATAGGTGAGGGTCGGGATGTAGACCGATCGGTAAACAGAGAGCTTCGCCTTACGGCTCAGCTCCCTCTTCACCACTACAGTCCGGTACAGCGACCGCATTACTGCTGCCGCTTGTCCCAGCCTGTGGTCGATCTCACGATCCTTCTTCCCATCACTCGTGAACAAGACCCCGAGATACTTAAACTCCTCCACCTGGGGCAAGTCCTTTCCCCCTACCTGGAGTGGGCATACCATCCTTTTCCGGGCTAAGACCATGGACTCAGACTTGGAGGTGCTGATCCGCATACCAACCGCTTCACACTCAGCTGAAAACCGCTCCAGTGTGCGCTGGAGGCATCCATGTGATCCAGCCAAAAGAACAACATCATCTGCAAATAGCAGAGACGCCACCCTCCGGCCTCCACACATAATGCCCTCCTGACTCCGGCTACGCCTTGACACCCTGTCCACGAATATCACAAACAGGAGTGGAGACAGGGCACAACCCTGGCGGAGTCCAACGCTAACACTGAAAGTGTCCGACTTAATGCCGAGTATACGAACACAGCTCTCACTCCGGGCGTACAGAGATTGAATGGCCCGGAGTAGTAACCCCGGCTCCCCATACTCCCGGGGGACCTCCCACAAGATATCTCGGGGAACACGGTCGTAAGCCTTCTCCAAATCCACAAAACACATGTAGACTGGGTTGGCAAACTCCCATGCCCCCTCAACAATCCGTGAGAGGGTGAAAAGCTGGTCCATTGTTCCACGGCCAGGACGGAATCCGCATTGTTCCTCCTCAATCTGAGGTTCAACTATCGGTCGAAGTCTCCTTTCCAGCACCTTGGCATAGACTTTCCCAGGGAGGCTGAGCAGTGTGATACCCCGATAGTTGGCACACACCCTCCGGTCCCCTTTCTTGAAAATAGGGACCACCACCCCGGTCTGCCAGTCCAAGGGTACTGTTCCCGAGGTCCATGCACTATTGCAGAGGCGTGTCAGCCACGACAGCCCCACAATATCCAGAGCCTTAAGCATCTCCGGACGAATCTCATCCACCCCCGGTGCCTTGCCACTGAAGAGCTTGCCAACTACTTCAGTGACCTCCACCAGGGAAATGGAGCTTGACACGGCAGAGGCCTCTGGCCCTGACTCCCATGAGGGAGGCATGTCACCCGGATTAAGGAGTTCCTCAAAGTGCTCTTTCCACCGACCGACAATATCCTCATTTGAAGTCAGAGTTTCTCCACCCCTGCTGAATACAGCCTGGGCGCAGCCACCCCGACCACTCCTGAGTCGCCGGACAGTTGTCCAGAACCTCCTCGAGGCCGACCAAAAGTCTTTTTCCATGGCCTCACCAAACTCCTCCCACGCCCTGGATTTTGCTTCTGCCACCATTGCAGCTGCCACCTTTTTTGCATGTCGGTACCTATCTGCTGAATCGGGAGTCCTTCGGGCCATCCAGTCCCTAAAAGCCTCTTTCTTCAGCTTGACGGCCTCCCTCACCACCGGTGTCCACCAGGGGGTTCTTGGGTTACCGCCATGACAGGCACCAACAAGCTTTTGGCCACAGCTGCGCCTGGCAGCTTCCACAATGGAGGTTTTGAACAGGGTCCATTCAGACTCTATGTCCCCTACCTCCTCCGGGACATGAGAAAAGCTCTCCCGGAGGTGGGAGTTAAAATCATTCCGAACAGGGGCCTCCGACAGTCGTTCCCAGCACACCCTCACTATTCGCTTGGGCCTACCGGGTCTAACCCTCAGTCTTCCCTGCCATCTGATCCAACTCACCACCAGATGGTGATCAGTTGACAGCTCAGCACCTCTCTTCACCCGAGTGTCCAGAACATATGGTCCCAAGTCAGATGAAACGACAACAAAGTCGATCATTGACCTTTGACCCAAGGAGCTCTGGTACTATGTACACTTATGAACATCCTTGTGTTCGAACTTGGTGTTCGTTATGGACAATCCATGCCTGGCACAGAAGTCCAATAACAATTCACCATTCGGGTTTAGATCGGGCAGGCCGTTCTTCCCAATCACGCCTCTCCAGGTCTCCCAGTCATTGCCAACATGAGCATTGAAGTCTCCCAGTAAGACTATGGAGTCTGTAGTCGGGACCCTTTCCAGAACCCCGCCCACTTGCTCCAAGAAGGCCGAATACTCCGACCTGTTGTTTGGTGCATAAGCACACACAACAGTCAGAGTTTTCCTCTCTGCGATTTTAATACGCATTGAGGCGACCCTCTCGTCCACCGGGAAAAACTCCAACTGTACTGCCACCAGCCGGGGACTCGTGAGTATCCCCACACCCGCCCGGCGCCTCTCACCTTGTGCAACCCCGGAGTAGGAGAGGGACCAACCCCTATCCAGGAGTTTGGTTCCAGAGCCGATACTGTGGGTGGAGGTGAGCCCAACTATATCTAGTTGGTACCTCTCAACCTCCCGCACAAGCTCCGGCTCCTTCCCCCCCAGTGAGGTTACATTCCACGTCCCAAGAGCCAGTTTCTGCCGCAGGGGCCTAGGCCACCAAGGGCCCCCCCGCAATCTCCCACTGCCTGTACGGCACTGCACCACTCTCCCATGCTGGACCTTGCGGGTGGTGGGCCCACATGGTCCCCCCACGTTGCCTCTTCGGGCTGAGCCCGGCCGGGTTAC